AGAAAAACAAAACATGTTGTGAGATGCTGATTTGTGTTTGAAATCCAGCCCCACACCTGTCTCTGCTTCCAGCCCGGACCAAAACACCAGGCTGGGAGGAACGGGGATGCTCCAGCCCTCACTGGAGTTCAAACCTTGGGAAAGAGGGAGATAAAAAGGGCTGGGAATGCTCATGCTGTTGGTCTGTCCTGCACAGAGCTGGGGGAGCAGTGCTGGGGGTCCCAAGGGAGTTGGAGTCCTGGAGGAGGTGGGGGTCCCAGTGGGTGTGGGGGGTCCCAGTGGGTGTGGGGTCCTGGAGGAGATGGGGGTCCTGATGGAATTGGGGTATTGGCACAGGTGGAGGTCCCAGTGGAGGGAGGTCCCAGTGGAGGTGGGATCCTGGCAGAGGGGGGATCCTGGCAGAGGGGGGTCCCTGGGGAAGCCCCAGGCTGTGGGGTGTCCCCCCCTGGCCGTTACCAGCACCTCCCTCCATTGTTCCCCAGCCCGCGTTTTTCCCTATGACCTAATCTTCCCTTGGCTCTCGCTGGTGATTTTATGGTAGGGAAATTATTTTGCAGTAAAAGGAGAGCAGATCCAGGCTGTTCTCTTCCCTCCTGATTCCACACGGGCTCTGGAGCTGTGGGGTTGTTTCTGCTCCAGGCTCAGCAGAGGGATCGTGCGGGACGAGCGGGGAGCGAGCGTGTGTCAGGCTGGGAACACTTTCCTTGTTCCTGTAAGAACACGGGAAGGCAACAGCCACAGAAAGATTTAAACAATTCCCCACACAAACCAGCTCTGGACACAAAAGCTTTTTAGTTATCATCAGCATTTTGTAAGATTATATTAAAATAAACCTTCAGGCTCAGTTTCCTGCTCCCGAGATCCCCCTCGTAGGATTATAAGGCACAAAAACATTTCCCAGAAATCTCAACCAAAAACATACTGAAAATATTTTCTCCCTGTTCTTGCACAAACCCTCACACTGTAAAAGCCTTAAAACAGCAAAAGAGGCACTAAGATGGGAGCTGTGCAAACTGCAGATCCCTCAGTGTGTAATTTGCCTTCTTTTCCCATTAGGAACAACCCTCTGGATTGACTTTTGACTTTTTGACTTCCTTTGACTTTTCCCACCTCACACAACACCCAAGGAACCACATGGAGAACATCCCTCTGAGATGGCAGAGAGGAACCTTTTCACAGCCACCACCCAGATGCTGATCAGTGAAAATTAAGTATTTTAAGTAAAACAACCAGGACAAAGGCAACCAGGAGCTCATCCATGACCTGCAGTCCCAGGAGCCCAGGACAGACACAAGCACGTAGCTTTTCTAGGGCTGACTGACCATGCAAGACTAAATACACTCACTTAGAGAGTGCAACTTAAATACCTGAAAAATAGACTGTATTAAATTAGAAGCTGGGGTTGTTCAGTCTGGAGAAGGCTCCAACCTTTCCCCTTAAAGGGGCTCCAAGAGAGCTGGAGAGGGACTTCAGATGAGGGCCTGGAGGGACAGGACAAGTGGGAATGGCTTCCCATTGCCAGAGGGCAGGGTTAGATGGGATATTGGAAAGAAATTCTTCCCTGTGAGGGTGGGGAGGCCCTGGCACAGGTTGCCCAGAGAAGCTGTGGCTGCCCCTGGTGGATCCCTGGAAGTGTCCAAGGCCAGGTTGGACGGGGCTTGGAGCAACCTGGGCTGGTGGAAGGTGTCCCTGCCCATGGCAGGGGGGTGGAGTGAGATGAGCTTTAAGGTCCCTTCCGACCCAAACCATTCTGGGTTTCTGTGAAATCTCCTCCAGAACCCCACAATATCTGCCCTGGGCAAAGGACACCCGGAGCTGAAATTTCTTGTCCTCCCTCCACTCTCCCAAACCCAGGCTTGTCCCTGAGGTGGTGGTGGGTCCACACTGGGACTGAAGCAAGGCAGAGTGTCCCCTGCAGGGCCAGCACGATGGGATTGGGGCACCCAGGTGAGCTGGGAGCGGGCAGAGGAGCCCGGGTTGGCCGCAGAGCCAGAGCCCGCGGGCGAGCGCACGAGCACCTCGGCTGTGATCCCTGCCCGGCTGCCAAGGACAACAAAGCCCGTGCACAAAGGATAGAAGCCATTCTGTCTCCAGGTCTGAATTGTTTCTTTCCTAAGGGGAGGGGAGGGAGGTGAAATCCATCCCTTTATAAGCAGTGACTCAGGTGCCACGATCCACCCCGGGCGCGCATCTCCCGCTCCGCGCCGTGTTTGCTCTGACGCCGCCGTGGGGCCTCATAATGGGATTATTGTTCCTTTGCGTGCAAAGCCCTCGCTTGGGGTTTTCTGTCCCCGCCCAGCCCTGCAAACCCTGCAAACCGCAGCCGCCTTTGCCTCCCCCAGCACCCGGCACGGGCTGGCGAGCGCCCGGCACCCCCGGAGAGCCATTCCTGCGCCCTGACTCACGGCACGGCGGGGTGGGGAGGCTGTGCTCCCATGGAATCATCACAGAACCAGGGAATATCCTCAGCTGGATCCACAGGGATCGTCCAGTCCAACCCTGGCCCTGCACAGACACCCCAGACACCCCAATATCCCCCCTGTCCCTGAGAGCGTTGTCCAAACCCTCCTGGAGCTCTGGCAGCCTTGGGGCTGTGCCCACTGCCCTGGGGAGCCTGGGCAGTGCCCAACCAGCCTGTGGGGGAAGAACCTTCTCCTGACATCCAACCTGACCCTCCCTGACACAGCTCCAGCCCTTCCCTCGGGGTCTGTCACTGGTCACACAGAGCAGAGATGGAGCTGCCCCTCCGCTGCCCCTCGGGAGGAAGTTTCCCTGCCCCGGATGCACAACCATACCCACGGCCTTTTCCATGCCTATTCCAGCTGGGAGCGAGGCCAGCAGGAGCTGATGGGGAGGGAAAAGCAGCATCTGACCAGGTGCTGTGCCATGGTGCCAACCTCCATGCCTGCCACGTGCCACCCGAGCAACCACCGGGAGCTGCCTGGCACTGCATGGGAGCAGGGAGTGAGGTGGGATGGGCCTGGAGCAAAGGGGACAGGCTTTCTCCTTGCACCACTGCTCCAGTCAGGATGGACAAGCTGCATCCCAGGTGGGATGGATCAGAGAATCACAGAATCATGGATTGGTTTTGGTTGGAAGGGACCTTAAAATTCATCTCATTCCCACCCCATGGGCAGGGACACCTTCCACTAGCCCAGGTTGCTCCAAGCCCTGTCCAACCTGACCTTGGACACTTCCAGGGATCCAGGGGCAGCCACAGCTTCTCTGGGCAACCTGTGCCAGGGCCCCACCACGCTCCCAGGGTGGAATTTCTTCCCAACATCCCTTCTAAACCCACTCTCCTTCACCTTCAGGCCACCAGCCACATCCTGGGAGGGAGAAGCCCAGAGCTCTGCACCACACACTCACCACCACACGTAATCCCCTCTCCAGAGCCCTAATCCCTGGGCAAACACAGGGACAGTGCCATGCTCTGAGCTATCAGCAGCCTCTCCAGCCTCCACTTAGTTCTAAGCCCAGCCCAAGGCTCACCTTTGGGCAGCTCTGGTTGCAGAGAAGTTTCCTGTGGATTCTTCCACCTCCTCCTCACCAGCTCCATCTGGCACTGAGCCCATCCTGCTCCCAGACATCATCTTCATAGTTCTCTGAAACTAAAAAAAAAACCACAAGAAAAGGAGGCCACCAACTCACCCTGGGGGGGGCTTGGGTGGGTTTTAACCCCCCCTTGCAAGAACACCTACAGGGAATGCTTGGAAAAAACTCTTTATCTTTCGGGGTTTGAGGCTTTTAGATGGAGAAGAGTCACAGTTTAAGTTTTCCTCCAGCCAATGCAAAAATTTGTTATTATTTATAAACCCCAAGAGTTTAAAGGGTTTGAATTTTACTGAAAAATTAGTAGGGAGGTGAGAAATCACCAGCTAAAATTTGATATTATGCTTGTAAGGGGCTCAGAGGACATTGCAAACCAGTCCAGGCTCCCTGTGTCCCTCCAAAGGCTCACTGCCTTCCATCAAAAGGATGGACAGAGAGGGAAACCCCTCCCTCTGTGCTCACCATGAGCATGGGTGCTGTGGGCCAGGGGTTCTCCCCATTTTCCAGAGGCAGAGACACAGGATGGGGGCTCAGTGGCATCCCAATGCTGGGGAGGGACCACACCAGTCCCTCAGCTGCATCCTGACACTCATCCAAGCACAGAGTTGAGGCCAAGCACACCCCAGGACCTCAAAAACCATCTCCAACCACGGGACAACTTTCCTGTTTTCCCTCCAGCCTGATCTCTTGACAATTCCCAGCTCCTCCATCCAAGGATCAGAGCCCATCTCCATTTGCAGGCCTTGGCTGGGTGTTTATACTCCCTTTGCTCCAAACTCCACCTTTCCATTGACACTCACTGTTTCCACGGGCAATTTCAGGCCTGGCCCCCCGCCAGCTTTTCAATCACACCAAGGAACAGAGAGATAATTTCATTCCCCCCCAGGGGACAAACAGAAAAGACGGATTTTCCTACGTGCTTTCTGCATCACCCTCCCCACTCGCTCCCCACGGCTCCAATGTGCATCACCATCATCTGGGCTGGCTACATCCAAGCAGGATTAAATGCTTTCCACGATATTATCTCGCAGCAATCTGATTACAAGGCTGCCTTTAACTGTATAATGTGGGTTTTGTACCAGCTCACACCACGCGCCAGGAATCAAACCAGAAAATAGCCCTGACGGGCTGGAGCCATCCCGACCCGTGGACATCACGGAGGATTTTAAGGTTTTTAAGGCTGCAGACAGAGGGCTAAAAGCTTTACAGACACTTCTAGTGTGTCTGGAAAGCAGGTGAAGAGCAGTGGGAGATGGGGCAGCCTGGCCACTGGTGGCACTGGGAAGGACACTGATTCCCAGCTGTGCCAGGTCCATTCCCTCTCCAACCCCAGGATGGCAGGGACAGACAACACCTGCTGCTTTTAAAAAAAAGGGTCCTGACACCTCTTGCTTTTCCCACTGAGGGCCACAATCCCCAATTTCCCCCGTGCCTGGACATACCTGGCTCACCTGGGCAGCCCAGTGGTCCCCAGGAACACACGCTCACCGCTGTCTGGATGAGGCACTGCAAAACTGCCTTTCCTTGGCTTTTTCTCCCTTTTTTTTTCATCCCCAAAGCAGCTGCCTTCCTGGCCAAGAGGCAGGACCTTGGACAAGCCAGAAACAATTAAGCTGGAGAAAGGAAACACAGCAGAACAGAGGGAGAAGCAGCAAAGCCACGGTTTTACAGCAGTAAAACGAATCAGTGCAAACTCTCAATTTCCCATTTATTGAAACCAATCACAGTTGAAAGGTCAAATCCATTGGCAAAGAGTAGTTTTGTATCATCCAGAGTGATCCACAAATGAAGTAGAAATTAAATCCAAGCAAAAAAGAAAGAACCAAATGAAAATGTACAACTCCAGCTTAATTCATTCAAGCCTGTTCCCTCTGGCTGCCCCTCCAGCAGGTGATCCGTGACATCCCAGCACCACTTCCAGAGGGACTGAGCAGCAGGAGGCAGCCAGGTGATCCAGTTATCCAGTCTGAGGAAGCCCTTTGTGCTGAAGACTGAAGCATCCCTGGCGAGGGGGAGCTGGGATTTGCAGCATCCTTCCAACTGTGGCGATTCCCTCCTCACTCGAGTGTGTGCCGGGCACAGGGATGGGCAGGATTCACTCCTCAGCCTGGAAGGGATCAATCCTGCCTGCTCAGGAAGAGCCATTCCACAAGAGATGCTTAGAAAGGCCAGGTGAAGAGGCAGGATCCACGTTGCACGTTTCTGGCTCTTCAGGTGGGATAATTAATTCATCCTGAGGAATGAATTCATCCTGACGCTGCTCAGGAAGACAAGGGCTCCCAGCACACTCAGGTGCTGACTTGGCTCTTCTGCAGGTGAAGTGTGACCAGGACCATCACCACCAAACCTTTCCTTGGTTCTTCAGGGAGTTATGGCCCAGCAGAACCAGCAATCCCTCAGGAAGGCCAAACACGGGTCCATGTGGAATTGTATCCGGCATCAGGCAGCACATCAGCGACAGTGTGGAGGACCACACCTTGCCTTGTCAAAGAGTACATGCTGGGAAACACTAAAATTCTTCTTTCCTGTTTGTTTTTTTTTTTTCCTGAAAACCCTGAAACACTGCACACGACTCATCAGAACAGTGTCTCACTTAGATAAATTTAGGAAAAAAAAAAAAAAGACATTTCCCCCTTGAAGAGATCCCAAGAAAATTCATTTTTATTTGCCTGGACTATTTGCATCCATCAAAACAAATTCCCTGAAGCATTCCCAAGGACCAGCAGGACACGGGAGACCTGCAGTCCTGCGATATGTTGTGTGTGTTATCGCAGCCCTAACGCCTTCCACCTGCCTTCCCAAAAAAAGGGTGGAATTCCAGACTCCCTAAGGGGTTTACTCCATTCCAATGCCTCAGTGCTTAACCACAGACCAGCTTCAACACAGGACAGAGAATTTCTAACCTTCTACAGAGCAAAGATGATCAAAATCCCCGAGTGACCTGACTCGGAGAAACCAGCCCAGCGTGGTCCAACGACCCCCCCTGAGAGGAAAAGCAAACCTGGTGGCGAAAGGAAAGCGGGATCTGGGAGGAACCACCCGTATTTGTGCTTTGAAAACCATCAACATGACATTGGGGGAGAGAGAGATATAAAATTATAGGAAATCAACACCAAACCAGATCCCAGAAAGATATGTACAAAACCAGTCCGGAGGATGACGCGCACCCGGCTCCGAACCCGCGCACGGCTCTGAATTCTTCTCCTGGGATTGCAGCGCTGCCCTACCCGAGCCCAACGTCCAGGGACATCATCACCACAAAGCCCAGGATGGAGGTCCAGGATGCCAGCTTCCCATTGCCACTGCAGGGAGAGAGGGGAGAGGTGAGCTGCGAGGAGCCGGGAATGTCGGCTGGGAGGAGGGAAGCGCCGCGTGTCTCTGCCCCGGGCAAGGGAAGGGATGTCCTGGAGCCCTCTGTGCTTCCCCCCGTGTCTCCCTGCCTGTAACGGTGTCTGCAGGGTCTCACCTGGTCTGTGCCTCGGGAATGATGTCGTCCATCACCACGTAGACCATGGCCCCGGCGGCGAAGCCCAGGGCGTAGGGCAGGAGAGGCTCTGCCAGCACCACGGCGAAGGCTCCGAACACGCCGGCCAAGGGCTCCACCATCCCGCTCAGCTGCCCGTACCTGCCAAACACCCCCACTGAGAGCCCCTGGGAGCCTGGAGAGAGGGGTGGCACAGCCATCCCGATGGGATGACGGGGCTCACACCTCCCCATCCCCACTGCACCCCCAGCCCCCATTCCCCAGTGCCACCGTGGCCCGGAGGGGTGGGACACTGGCCACGCCACGCCAAGTCACCTGGATGATTTTAAACAGGCAATGATTTGACCTAACCCAGCTGAATTTTCCAGGAGTGGAATTCAGGCATGGCCCAATTCCTCCCCCCAGCAGCACTGTGGGATTTGGGGATCCAGCTCCCAGGCAGGGATGGGTCAGAGAGGAAATATTTCCAACCAGCATAACTCAATCCCAAAGAGCTGAGGTTGTGAATCCACATCTGGCCACAGCCTCAACCAGGATAAAATCATGTTCTTCCCGCTCGTTTTCTTTCCCCCTAGGACTGTTTCAGCTCTCTGGACCATGGGAACTCCCTTCCCAGCAGCAGCAATCCTGGTGCAAGTCCCAGCACCCGCTTGCGGGAGTGGGTGGGAGGAAAATTAAACAAAGCTTTGGCAGGAGCAGTTTTGGAGCCTCCCCCTGCCCTCCCATCCATCACCCAGCCAGGTGAACACAGCCCTGCACTCCCAGGGTTCATGCCCTGGGCTTTTTCACCTCAGGGAAAAGGGAAAAGGCTGGGTTTGAAATCCAACCTGGAGTGAAGGGAGAGAAAAAATGAAATAAAATAAAAATTTAAAGAAAAAAATATTTAGTGCAGGATCTGGGAGGTCACAACAGGTACTGAAGCAGGATGTGGTGACCTGTCAGGATCATGGATGCATCCCCAGGGAGCTGAGGGCTTGGATCTGAGTTCAGGCAGTGTGGAGGGAGCAGGGCAGAGCTCACCACACTTCCTGAGCACAGGAAACCAGCAGCACTCCCAGCTCCCCATGATTTCAGGAGCTGACCCAGCAGGTCTGGAGCAAACCCATTCCAAGGGCAGCTCCATGATGGAGCAACACAACGGACAGGGGAGGAAACCAATGGGCAGGAGGTGCTGGTGGAGGGCTCTTGTTCCCCTGGGAGAAGAGGAGCTCAGCTTACCAGAACGCTTTCCACGTGGAAAATCCAGCCCCTCGCAAAGGCAGGCTGACAGCCAGGCCCTCTGGGAAATTCTGGATCCCAATCCCAATGGCTAAGTTCCTACCACACAGAAAAAGCACAATTATATATATATGAATATATATGTTAGATGGAAGGCACAGCCTGGGAAAGGCTGCTGGGAGACAGGGACAAAGAGACACAAGTAAGGATTCCATGGAAGTGAAAAACCAGGTGGAGGGGAGAGCTGGACTGTCCATCAGTCACGGAATCATGGAATGGTTTGGGTCGGAAGGGGCCTTAAAGCTCATCTTGTTCCACCCCCTGCCATGGGCAGGTTTTCTCCATCATGTCTCCACTGGTGTGTGTTGGTGGCACTGGCCATGGCCTGTCCTGGGGGGACACCAAGAGAGGGACCATCCTGGGGGGCTCAAAGCTGCAGCAGTGAGGGGCTGGGCTGGGACCTGCCCCAGCCACAGCTCCAGGCAGGAGCCCAGTGCCTCTCCCTGAGGTCAGCCCTTCCTCTGCCAGCAGCTCCAAGCTCCCTTTTGCTGCCTCAAACACTTGTTTCCTATTAGTAAAATAAGACTGGTGAGAAAAATCTCTCTGGGTTGTTTAAACTTCTACCAGGGTTTACAGAAGAGGGGAGGGGAAGGGGGAGAGGCTGCGGGTTTCCCTAACCAGGACAGGCTATTACAATCAAAAACATTATTCAAGGGAAAGAGAGGGAGGACGGAGGGGGAAAACCATCCCTGTTGGAAAACACTGGGGCCGCTGTCTCTGCCCTGGGCTTTTTTCCTCCTTCCCTCGCCTTCGCACAAAGCAGCTTTTACTGGCCCCGACCACAACAAATTAATGGGGTGGGAGAGGGAGGTGTGAATGGAGGGGTCTGTATGGGAAGGGTGGAGAGTCCCCCCCTCGCCCCCACCGGGAGGAGGGAACCCCACGCTGACCCCCGGCCCTGCAGCAGCCCCGAGGGGCAGGAGGAAGGGGATGGAACCCGGGGGAAGATCCAGGAGGAGCCCATCAGGTGGGTTTGCCCCTGCTCTTTTCCTCCTTTCCTTCCCACATGCCCCTGGAACAGCCCATCAGGGCTCCCCTAAGAACCAGCCCCGGCCCTACAGACTGGGGCATCTCCAGATCAGTGCCAGATGCCCAGGGATGGGGATGGGAGCAGGGCTGCAGGTGGCACGGCAAGCCAGGGGCTACAGTGCCCACTGTGCCACATGCCACGGCACTCACACCCCATGGCAAACGGGTTCTGGTGTGCTCAGCACCAACAGGGACCCACTGGGGCCAGGCCACCCATGCCCTCCAGCCCTCATCAGGGAGGCAGCCATGAATGCCCCATCCCAGGTCAGGATTTTAACTGTTTTCCCAGGAAATGCCCACTGCATGGGCACTGGCAGCCAGGGCAGCTTCAGTGTGGGACGTGGCCAGAGACAAAGGCCACCAGAGACCCAGACACCCACAAGTGTCCCTGCACAAGGAGTTTCTTGGGATGTCCGTGGGGCAGAAAGGACCAGGCTGAGAAGGTCCCCATGACATCTCCTGGCCTCCAGTCACTCCACGTCCCCACCATGGTCTCCTGCTCGCCCAGACCGCACTCCCATGGGACCATCCAACACTTCCTCCCCGCCACAGCTCTGCCTGAACATTTCTTGGACTTTGTGGCCTTCTGAGCCCTTCCCAGGGACACTAATCCCATCAGGATGAGGAGCACTCCGTGACACCACGAGGCCAGGAACACCTAAGCCCAGCTGTTTGCTCGGCCTCGCTTCGCCGCGCGGGGGGAACCTCGGGGGACGCCTCTGTTTGCGTCCCGGGAGGGGTCCGGGTGCTGGGGCAAAGGAGAGGAGCACTCCCTTTGGAACAAAACCATCCCAAGGGACATTCCTGTCCCTCTTGGCCGCCGAGCCGTGCACAACTCACACCTTCTCCCGCGTGGAGCTGACGGCAACGCGGGCGCCAGGAAGGGACGGAATCAAAGCTGCATTGTGTGCGAGGGGAACAAAGGCGCCTTATGACGGAAATAGGTGGGGATTCTTGGAAGGCTTCCCCCGACTGCAAAGGAATACATTGTAAAACACCAGCACCGAGACAGAGCTGGAGCAGCCCGGCCCAGAGGAGCCCAAGCTCGGGGTGCCCACAGGGAGGTGGGGACACGGAGGAGATGGAAACGGGGGGATGAGCCAACGCAGCCTGAGGGACAATGCTTGGGATGGAAAGTTTAGGATCTTTAAAGGGAAGAAGGTGGGGGATAACTGGGAGAGAGGTGGTAGAAGCAGATCCCATCTGGTCGGATTTCTGCCCAGGGAGGTGGTGGAGTCCCCATCCCTGGAGGTGTTCAAGGACAGGGCAATCAGTGCTCTGGGCTGGGGGACAAGGTGGGAATCGGGCACAGATTGGACTCAATGATTTTGGAGGTCTTTTCCAACCTTAACGGTTCTGGGATTCTGTGGATGGGTCACCTGTGTCCAGCTGGACAAGGGGGACAACCTGTGGCTCATCCCCAACCTGCAAACGTGAGTTGGTCCAAAGGAAGCACATTCCAAAGGAAACCACACTGGACTCTGCCTGGGAATGCACGTGTCCCGTTAGTGGCTCTGCCACCAGCACCCTGGCCAGCACAGGAATGTCACTTGGGTGTCTCTTCCTTTGGGCACAATGGACTCAGGTGTCAAGGATCAGGGAGCCAACATGCACTGGACACATCACCTTTCCCAGCTCTGCCTCAGCTTCCCCACCTGTAAAATGGGGGTGATGACAGTGATGTCCTGCACAACCTCCTCCATCTGGGGACAGAAACACCACCAGGACACGTGTCACCCCCACGTGAGCTCTGCAGAGAGCCAGCAGTGCTGCGATGGCTCTGCCCTGGCCCCGGCCGAGCCTCCCCTGCAGCAGGGCCCTGGGCCGCAGTTTTAAGGAAGAAAAGGTAAACCTGTGACATCCTGGTGGAGCTCCAGCGAGGACCAGCTCGATGGAAAGACTCCGTGTCCCCCCGGGAACGCACCGGGGCCGGACCTCCTACCCCCAGCTCGCCTGCCAACTGCTATGGCACCACGCTGGGAGACTCCAAGTTCACTTTCAAAAAAAAGTTGGCATCTCTGCATATTTGCAAGGTCAAGGCACAGAAAGCCTTCTATAAGCCTAAACCCTTGTTTTCAAGGGCCTATTCTTTTACAAACTGATTATGAAAGCAGGCTACATATTCTTAACAAGCCCCTTTTCACTCCGGCTTTCAATTCCCTCCAGTGTATAATGTGCATGTGTATTCTTGCATGGCAGGCCCTTACATACTGTTTTGATTGTTATCGTCTTGCCATGAAAGGGCCGATTGTTTTGGGTTCCCAAGATTACATCATGGCTCCCACTCGGGCCGCCCGTCGAGGTGTTTGATCAGGGCTCCAGGTGGGAATGGGAAGGAGCTCCGCGGGGCCCTCGGCGCTTCCCATACCTGCCCTACCTGTTCGGCACGGCCGCCGGCTCGGGAGGCTCTCACGCGAGGAGTGCGGGGGAGCCGGGGGGGGCAGAGGGCCCTGCCACCCCCCCCGATGTCCCCCGGGCCCCATCCCCACCCCGGGCAGCAGCCTGACCCAGCCCTGGGCACGGGGGGCTCCAGGTGAGCCCGTGGTGCTCAAAGCTTCGAAGGTCAAACCCACAGGAGCGGCGGGAGGACGTTGCTCCCGCGGATCTGCCTTTTGGTAACGCAGCACTTTTCATCTCAAACATTTCAAGCTATTAAAAAAAAACCTCACCAGGATATAAACCTACTGTGCCTCCTCCTCTCAGGAGCAGCCACCAGCCCCATTACCCACAGGGGCACAGAAATGCAGGAACAATGTGTGCCCTCATCCCGGGCAGGGGATGGAGCAGGCACCCCCCTCCCAGATAGGGAATGGAATGCCTTGGGTTGGAAGGGATGGTAAAGCTCATCCAGTCCCACCCCCTGCCATGGGCAGGGACACTTTCCATCAGCCCAGGTTGCTCCAAGCCCTGTCCAACCTGGCCTTGGACACTTCCAGGGATGGGGCAGCCACAGCTTCTCTGGGCAACCTGTGCCAGGGCCTCCCCGCCCTCACAGGGAAGAATTTCCTCCTCACAGGGAAGAATTTCTTCCATGTGAGGAAATGAAGACTGTTGGGTCTCGGCTGGAGCCGTGTGTGGCACATCCCAGCAGAACAACACCTGCTCTCCCAAGACTTGGCCCTTCCAGTGCTGCTCCTCAGCAGCCACTTCCATCCCTCTTCCCACCCTTCTCTCCCTCCTCTTCCCACCCAATCTCCTGGGCTGGAGCTGTGCCTCCAGCTCTGTGTCACATCTGCTGCCTGGCCCCCTGCCAGCCTTGCCCCCCCCGGCTCTGGATCCACACGCTGTAAACATTTACAATTTTAGGAAATTTTACCCTTAATTTATCCCAAAGGCACGTGAGCTCAGTTCAAAGTCGTAAAACCTGCTCTCCCCCCCGACTGCAGCACCGGGACGTGAACTTCAGCTGGAGAGCACGGAATTCTCCAGCTTTCCCAACACAGATCCCCACCAGCAGTGCCAGGTCAGTCCAGGATGGGGCTGCCACCCATCTCCCCTCCCCAGCAAAGCTCAGCTCAGTGTTCTCCTGCTGGATCCCAAAGATGAGAGGCCTCCTCCAGCCCAAGGGTGGATCAGGTTCTGCCCTGGCCATCACCACCCCCTTCAGCTGCTCCCTCCACCATCATCCTCCCCAGACAACACACTGCCAGGGGACCCAGGGCTGGTTGCACCAGGTCCCCGCCCTCCTCACCTTCCACAGCCATGGCTTTGGAGGAGAAAGGGTTTGGAGGAGAAAGCTATCCCAGGAATGCAGAACCATGGAATTGTTTTGAGGAAAAGAATCTTAAGGTCATCATTGTCAAAGCCACCACTCACCCCTGTCCCCAGGTGCCACATCCACACGGTTTTTAAATCCCCCCCAGGATGGGGACTCCCCCACTGCCCTGGGCAACTGGACAGCCCTTCCATGGAGATGTTTTCCCTAGTATCCAACCTAAACTTTTTTTTCCCTAATATCCAATCTAACCTTTTTTTCCCTAATATCCAACCTAACCCTTCCCTAGCACGAC